GGCACATCTTCTGGTACTTGGGACTCAGGAGACGTAGGCGGAACGTGAGAGGCATGAAGAGATACGAGTGGAGGGCGTTCTTCTGCAACATGCTCTTCAGTCTGATCTGACGATACTGTACCCTCTGCAGTGACCAAAGACGTGCCATCACTGGTTTGTGTAGGGAGTTCAGAATCCGTGGGCGAGGTCTTCAATATTTGCGGTCCCGTTTCTGCGAGTTCAGTTGACGCGCTGAGAGATCTAGGACCATCCTCGGGGTTTTGGCGGAGAGAAGATGACAGAGAGGACGATTCCTCAGGCTCTGCAGGCAGCTGAATGTACTCGTCTCTCATCAAGCACGTCTCCAGCTTCAAGTTGTACACGACATAGACCATGAACTCTGTGATCTTCTTCATCCTTGACAAAACCTCAGTTGAGTCGCCGCGGAGAGCGATCGTACAGCCAAGCTTCTCAGAGCACCCTGAAAGGAAGATGTAAGTCTTTTTCTTTCCGGGATAGTTCTTGTTGACGTATGTCTTAACTTCGAAGCCGCCAGATCTTCCGACCTGGACTTGCAAGGCCAGCATGTCCAGAGAGGAGATGATGTCTGTCTCTGCGCATCTCGACACGGCTTCGATGACCGATGGCTTGACATTGTAGGCGACAGCTATGCCTGCCTCGGAGAGGTACTGCAATGCAACACCAGACACAGATTTTTCACAGAGAAGTAATTGTGGGCGCAAGTTGATGATGCGATTGACGACAATTCGTAAGAACTCCTTCTCCTGCTCGATGACAGGTTGAAGACTCATAAAGTGTTGCTGGTGCCGCTGGTACTCTATCGGGAAAGAGACGATGACGATACGGGGATTGAGGATGCGGCGTGGCATGCTCTTGAGAGCAAGGTTCTTTGTGAATATGACACCTGAGACGTAGCTAGTGTCCCCGGGTTTTCCGCCTGGTATTTTCTTTAGCTTGACGTAATGTCGTATGTCCATGTCATCTCCCACTCTAATGTCGGGTGTAACGTCGTCGGTGCACTGGAGCAAGATGGGAACTAGAGCCTTTTCCCATGCTGGCACATTGGGTATGCCGGAGTCTTCGAGCAACTGATGCAAGAGTCTCTTGACATGCAACATACTAGATGGATTGAGCTCCACCTGTGGCTGCTTGTCCGCTTGCATCGAATCGCTTCTAGTCAATTTCGTGGCTTCGATAGCAGGATTCTCAATGGTGAAGACGTTCTCGTTGGACGCGGACGGACCCTTGAAGATGCCAGATTTGGGGCGCGGGGACCTCATCTGATGGCTCACATTACTGAGATTGCGTCTTCTCGCGGGGCGGCCATGACCGATAAGACTTCCCGAGCCGGCATTATCATCTATTCCGCGACTTGTGAAGCTCAACCCGCTAACACTCTTCTCCCCTCGTCCAAGTCGGTGTCTCCTTCCCGTGCTCAAAAACGGTCCGAAGCTTGACTTCTCATGGTCGTAGCTTGATGGTTGCAGATCAGCGTTTGACATGGTGGCAAATATGCTCATCTGTTCGTCACCGCTGGACTCGTCTGACATGTAGGCAGCCAGTTCCGGGTCGATGATATTGTCGTCATGGAAAGCCGGATATTTCGGCTTCTTGGCCATCTCTTCAGTGATTCCCTTGCGGAACGGGGCTCTATCGTCTGGCATTGGCTTGAACCTTGACATGAAGTTGTTGTGATGCTTCGAATGATGTCGTCTGTGACCTGACGATTGCGGCCGATTCGCGGATGTTAAAGACCTGAGAGAACGTGAGGAGCTCGGGCGGCTGAGCTGCGGTGCATCTATTTCTAGAATGGCAGAGTTTCGGTTAGAGTCATTGATCCTTCTGGTCGCAGGAATTGCCATCATAGGTGTCTGGACAGATCTCGCGTCACCCAGGTCCTCCATTCGATCAGCAAAACTCGGTTCTTCAACCTCAGCCTCTGCTTGCGTCGCCTTGGGAGTTGCCTTGGTTTGACGAAAAAGAGCTGGCAAGAATGAGTCGTCCCCAGAGTCGTCAGAGCCGCTCCCTTCATACAGTCGCTGGTTGATGACTTTTAGGCACGTTTTGCAAACTCTGAGGGTTCCTGTCATTCCAAATTTTGAGGCTGGGATGATGGAAGTGCATTTTGAATCAAAGATGCACCCGCAGGTTCGACAATGGTGCTTTCTTCTAAAAGCTGAGAACGGCTGGCCGCATATGAAACATTCTTTGCAAGTTTCATCGGCCATCCAAAATTCTTTGCTCAGAACCTGACGCCGCATCCTATCAAGCCTGGCATTGACTTGTTCAGGGGCACCTTCGTTGGTCGTTGTGCCAGGAATGCGCAAAGCCCCCGTTCTTCCATGTATGGGCTGAGCAGCGTGGGCGAAGGAGTCATGGTATACAGAGTCGTGGGCAGTCGTACTGATGGGGCTGGGTTCTGCGGTGACATGTTCCATCGATGAAGATCTTGAGGGGGCATAGCCAGGTGACCGAGACCGACTAATGCGATCAATGACTGCTGGTCGTTTCGGAACTAGCATCATCGACGACGTCGATAATGTAGGAGACCGGGGATCCGCGGTCTGCAACTTAGGGAGCTGTGGTGCGCTGGTCTTGATTGGGCTCAGGGACTTATCCGAAGGACCGTCGACAGCTGTGTCTTCGCGTCTGGGCCGGGGAATAATTCCATGGGTTCGCTCGGGGAGGATTGCGCTGGGTTTAGGCTCTAGGACATCGAATTTGTGATCATGCCCGATTCCAAACAGCCGCGGATCAGGGTGTTTGCTGATACTTCGCCTCCCAGACGTTCGAACTGGGCCATCCTCCATGCGAGCTACGCTTCTTGTTGCTGTAGCTGGTGCGACCTCAGGATTTATGGCCGTGACTGCTGAGGCTTTGGCCACGCTGGGCAAGCTTTGCCGGCTGGCAGCGCTCGATTTAGACGCCGTCATTGCGGAAATGGATGTCGCTTTCGATGACTGAGGGGGATGTGACTGGCTGTCAGACATGATCGTGTTCATTCCTGACGAGGAAGTGCCTGTCATGGGACCGTCATGCGTTGTCCCCGAGTTGAATGAAGAGCTCGTAGCGGCGGTTTCGACGCGGGTGAGGGAAGCGATGGGTATTTTCGGGGTTGTAGCCGTGGTGCTAGTGCTGCGTTTCGATGCAGCATCGAAGCTGTCGCCATCGTCGACGTCTTGCTGTCTCGCCCCGCCAGCGCCTACCGCCTCTTTGAGCCGACTGTAGAGTCCACTGAGGCCATTTTGAACCAGCTCTCCTGCCAGAACCTTTGTTTCTGTTGCCGGAAGAGATGAGGGAGGAGGAGCAAAGTCGTTGAATGTCGTCAAAGAGTCAGACTGGCTCGCCGATGTATGGATTCTGTTCAGAGTATGGGCTAGCTGGTCCTTATCGGCCTGCGAAGCGGTGGATATGGAGTTTATAGAATCATGGCGGCTCCTGAAGCCTGGAGGCGTAGATAGAACTGCCGGAGAGTTTGGCTTCGATGTGTTGTTGCTCGCCATCTTGCGCGGACACGAATGCGACGAGTGGAGGACTGAGCTCGTGGTTGTCTATAACGTGTGTAGGGCTAGCATCTTTTCATGTCAGGTTGACATGATGGACGATCGCTGGATGTAGTTTATTCGCGGGATGTCTTGAGAAATCGAAAGCTTCTCCCCGTAGTCAATCTTGACCTAATCGGACCAAGTCTAGCTTATGTACTCGTGGTTCGTAGAAGCGAGGGGTTCGCTACCGTCGGTAGGGGTTTCTTTGTCGATGTCTACTAGGGGAGTAGAGCGTGGTGTATATCGTTGTAGTCTCGGAAAGAACGCGGGCAAGATACAGTGTCTGAGAAGAGCACAGGTGACGAGGAGAATCGACGTGGCAAAGGTCAGGCTCTGGGTGTATGTGTATGTTCGGGCGAAGAAAGATTGGGTGTGGGATGTCGTCGTAGGTCCCCGCGTAAGGTTGTCTGCAATGCTGCAGAAACAAGCAGTCTTGGAGACGGCGCTGATGGGTTTTAGAGGGCGGACTATCCGTAGACTACTGCGAGCCAGGCAGCGCTATCCCATCAAGGTCTAGGCCCGCGTGGCCCTGCGATGACCAAGTCGGTACAATTGTCAAACGTGGGTGGGATGACGCAGCGACGCAACGAAGTTGGGGTTGGGTTGAGCTGGCACTGCGCAGTTGGCAAATCCTGGGGGGCTGCCGTAGGTACTGCACAACGCAGCAGGTACCTACTCCAACGTTTTGCAGAAAAGTAGGCGTTAGTGTTGTCTACGATACCTCGGGAATGGCTGCTTTGAGACGCCCTTCGAGCAGTCCATATGAGAGCCCGTTGCAGGAATGCAAGCTGGGCAAGGCAAAAGGCGGTACGGAGCACCTACCAGGCTCAAGGTACCTGTACTTGATCTTACTTTCTCTATTGCGGCAAATGTGGATGTACCCGGTACCCGTTCCCTTCCCCGGCATCAGCAATGCCAACAGGTACCTTAACCCACCACCAAAAGGAAGATAGACACCTTAGCTGGCCCACCCACACTCAAAGCGCCTGGGTCCTGGGTATTTGGGGACTTGGGGACTTCGAGTTACGAAGCTCGGACCACTATCCTGTCTTTTCCAGCACCACCCAGGAACCCCGCAGTTGCTGCCACTTTACCTTGGACACCCAGCATGGGAATTCAACAGGGAGCCAGGGACACGCCGAAAAACGCGTTTTCTCCAAAGTACCTTGGTATCTTTGGCGCGTTAATCAATTGACATCTTCTGGTGTTCACCATTCACAGCAGCCCTGTTCCTGCCATTGATTACAACCGTCGGCAAAAGTCTTATTGATTCATCACCATTCATTCCAAGATTTTCAATCTTCCCTTGAAGGCATTGTCTGCCACCTTGTCAGTCGCCATCACAACAAACACCTCGTTTTAACACCAAATACTTCTTGTTACACCAGCTAGCAACCCAGTTGCGAATGCGGAAATTCACCATCCCAGCTCAAGGCTGCGATCCTCACCACCACCATGACTAGTTCATCGAGTAGCTCGGAACAGTCCATCACGTCTGCACCCTTTGGTCTTCGCAATGGAGCTCAAGTGCCTCGGAAACTCGTGAAGATTCCCAAGGATCAACAAGCAATCTTTTCAGACAGTGGAAGACAACCGTGGATCTCAGCTCTCAAGAATAACCCACAACAGAATGCCGCCAGAGTCCCGCCAAAGGTCCTTGAACAAATTAAGTATTTTCATACCTCTCGGACACTACCGCCACCTGCCCAGAAGCCAAACGCGGCTGTTTCCAGTGGACCAACTGCATCAGTCTCGGTCTCTGAGAGTACGCCCATCCATCAGCAAGATGATGGATCAGACTCTGAGCCAGAGGTGCCCGTCAGCTCCTGGCCGGAATCTCCCCCACGACCACCCCGTGGAAGAGAGCTACAAGAAACCCCCTCTCCAGCGTTTTCTATCAGGTCACAAGTCATCATGACCCAGGCCCAGTCTGGTGTAGAACGAATTATCTCCCAGTCCCCACCGCCGCGAACGCGAAGCAGCCCTCAAATTCGGTCTTCACCACCGATGATCCCAGCCACCAAGCGACAGTTCTCACCTCCTACAGGCGCCAAACGTCGCCGCCCAGCTGAAGTGTTTCCGTCCAGCAGCGCCGGTGTGGAAGACGAGCTGGAAACCGCCATCCCAGGGGCTCTTTGCGAAGCGACACCCCCTGTCAACAGAAGAGCCGCGCGTTTGACTACTGTATCTCAGGCTGTGACCAGCCCTCCCTGCGGTCAAGGAAGCATGGTTCCGTCCACTTACAAAGACATTAAGAGCTCCGACAAGGTGGAAGAACCAGTTCACAAGAAAAGAAGGATGAAGGCAGTCGAATTGAGCTCCCAAGAAGTCGAAGAAGAGCGCCCTTCGGCAAGAGTCGATCCAAAATCTGTGGCACCACTTCCTCAGACTCATCAAGGGGCTCTACACACAGCCTCAAGCTCTGCACCTGCGTCAGCGGTTCTTGTTACCGACGAGCAACCGAAACTGGGAACACCCAAGGTCGTCAAAGATGCCCCCAGTCTTTCTGGAACTGCCAGCGTTGGTCACAAGGCAGGTGAAACATCTCGTCCAGATATTACGACCTCCAGAGCACACGTCCAACCAACTCTGGAGAGTGGGGGTAAGGCAAAAAACAATGTTTCATTGGCCACACGTGGAGTATTGTCTGAGGGCGATAGCCTGAAATCCTCGATGGAAGAGGTCCAGCGGCAGAAAGCAATATCATATCTCGACGAAACGTGGAAACGGAATGGTCTTGATTGGATTCCGACCGCTTTCCAGCATCTCCAGCCAACTCTGACAGCTCACAGCCTTGGTGTTCTGGTCGCCATCACCCATCAGGCATTAAAGGACGGTATACAACTCGCAAGGCTATGGTCGAAGCCTGATGGCCCGCTTCATAAAGCGGCTTTGAATGTTGCAGACGGAAAACTGATCTTCTCCGAAGAAGTCGCCGAGGCATCACTCTATTTCTTGGAGGCAGAGAAGTCGAAAGCGGCGAAGACCCGAGGTCCAGCCTCGGGTGAAGCAAGAGCAGCACCTGTCGGAAGCTCATCGAGGCCTGCAAGCCGTCACCGGACAGTGTCTCAAGTGACACCCATCAATTCTTCACCTCCACCATCACCCAGCGCCATGCAAGGTATGCAGCCGACTGCTATTCCACAAGTGCTTCAAGATAGTCGATACCAAACCTTCGATGTCCATCATTCAGCACAGGACTCGGTCAAGAGGCCCCCTTTTGCACAGGATCCGCTGGTAGCTTTCCGCCACGTATACCCATCCTTCTCGGGCAGCGTAGATGACTTTGTGAAGGCTTGTTTCACGATCAAAGACCTGCGTCGGAAACGACTGCTTCCCAAATGGCTCTACGACGACTTCATCCGCGCCTTCGTGGACGGGTTCGTCCCTTACATCCAAACCTTGGACGATGACGAGGAGCCGCTCTCGGCATATCAGTGGTACGTCGAGTACGTGGACCGGCCAGCATATCAGGGCGGTGTCGTGACACGCGAGAATCTGTATCTGGTTTTCAAGATCTACCACAGTGAATTCAAGTCGGCAAGGGAGTCTGTGTTGGAGAACGGAACCCCGTTTCCAGAAGTCGCACAGAGGCGTCTCTCTGAGCAATCAGCGGCCTTGAACCTGAGCGTGGGTCCTAATACGCCAGTTGCGCAGCAGAGCAACCCCATCCCGAGGCCTCATATCGAGACACGCACATCGGACGGCACGCCTAGCAAGCCTGCTTTCTCCCCCGTGCGTGCTTCACTCAGGGAACAGCCGATTGCATCGAAGACGAACGGCAGTGGCTGTGTTGGCGAGCAGCCTGCTAATGAACCTCATACTCACAATGCCTTGCCTCCTGCATCTGACATCCCCCCTGCCAATGGGGAGAAGGCCAAACAGCGAGTGACAAACAACGCGGCATCAAGCCCTCGGAACCCTCCGGCATCTGCCCCGGCCATTCAACGACACACAAACGCTCTGCAGAACGACGAGGACGTCACATTCACATCCAGTACCCCGCGCCCCCGTACCGCAAACCCTTTGGAGGAAACTATCAAGACGGAAAGCAACGATAACGGCACCACCGCCACCGCCAGCACCACCACGCCGTTGCCGCAGAAGGCAGTTCCCAACCCCCTACTATCTGAGCAGAGGGTCCCTTTATTCTCGAAGCCCACCAAGGACGCCATCATCGCAGAGACCCCGCCGCGCAAGACAGCCGGTCCGCCCAAGCGGACTACCCAGCACCCAGCGGTACGTCGTAGCCTGCCGGCCTCTTTCTCCGACGGCCGACCGCCTCCCGCGTCGATGCCGATCAAGGCCTCAGTACCAGTGACGACGAGCCCGGCCGCGAGCCCTGTGCAAAGCGGTACGCCAAGAACCGCGTTGGGTTCCTTTTTCCAGGAGAGCCGCGTGAAGAAATCCAAGCAAAAGACGGCCATGACGGAGAAGGAAAGGAGACAAGCCGCTTTGGCCAAGATGGAGAGGATGTCGAAGGAAGGACGGTATAAGCCCCCGTCTAGCACGATGCCTCCCAGGTCTTGAGGTCTTGAGCCAGAGGCCAACGTCGTTCATTTACAGTCTTCACTTGAGCCGTTGTTTGAGAATGGGCGAGGATATGGGCATCGAAAGTTGATCTTGTGTTGAGTAAAAGGGGTCGAACGATGCGGTTCTGTAGTAGCTGACGGTCGAGGTTCATTTCGTATCGGTCAGCACTGTCTATTGGCCTGCAACATGGATATGGAGATGAAGCATAACGACACACGTTGGGCGGAAAGAGCAAGACTTGATTTGAGTATAATACCCCTTTTGTAGCGAGTTGGTAGAAGGTATCAATTGTATTACACCACAGGTGCGATGAGGCCACAAGTGGCAAAGCTGATGCTACTCTCCAAAATAACAAGGCCAAGGTTCTAGATTGCTCTTGCAATCAATCTGATCTGTCTAGACTGGATCTAGTTGTGCTTTTTCGTGCCCGGCTCTCTGGAGAGTCTTGAATGTGTTCTATGTTCCCTATGAAAAAAAACATTTCGCCAAACCCCAAGATGCTTCCCGTCGTATCCTGTTTGCAAATGAGTTGAGGGTGGTGGGTAGGTGGCTTGAAGGTGGGGGTAGGTTATTTGGGTTTCCGTGTCGCAGCAAAATTCCGTGAGCCGACTCCGTATAGGTGGTGTTCACAAGAAGAAAAAAAACACCCTCTCTCTCCAGTGTTCCTCCATAGTTGTTGCGCTGTGATTTCCCAATATTCCGTCATGTGTCAAAGGTCGTATCTCTCGTGTCATTACACCCCCCCAAGGTCGCCCCCAGAGTGATGTTGTGTTGTGGGTATATGGTTTTATAGTATCTGTAATTTGCTCAGGTCGAGTCCTCGGAAGCTTGGGCCTCGGCGGCCTTCTTGGCCTTTTGTCTTTCTTCCTCTTCGGGGGTGAGGGTCTTGAGCTGAAGGGCGTGGATGCCACCCTCGCGGGCCATCTCCTCGCGCAGGAGGGCGTAGACCATGCGGTGGCGGGCGGACTGCATCTTGGACTTGAAAGACTCGGAGGTAATAACAAGTCTGCGTGACGACTGTTAGTCAAAAGAGGTCTCGTACTGAGGAATAGCAGAGTCTGATTTGCCGTACCTGAAGTGTGTTTCCTTGGAGGTGCTACCAGCCATGGCCTTGTGGTGGCTATGGAGGTGGGAGTCGTTGTAGATTTCGAGGGTGGTGGGGGAGAAGGCGGCGGTCACCTGGAGTCGTTCGGTCAGCAACGTTGGCTCACAGACAAGAAGACTGTCTCAAGGGCAGGATATCGTACCTTGGACCGAATAGCATCCTCAACGGGGTTGGTGGAAGCCATGGTTCCGTGGGGTCTGGCAGCGCCCGAGAAGCCGAGGGCGTATCTTCGCAACATTGGTGTGTGTAGGTGTGTAGTTCCTCCGGTCAAGCTACTCCCAATCCTGCCGACAATGGGGCGGAATGTGTTCATGGGGAGTAGAAGAGGAGGAAGGAAAGAAGAGAAGAGGGAAGGAGGTTTTCAAGTAAAAAAAAAAGTAGGATGCGACGGTCTGCGGCGTGCGGCAGCGTGCGTCGACCGAGAAGCGGTAAGGAGGTATAGAAACTGGACAGGGGAGAATAAGAAAGCTGCCCTTGCGCTGGTGTGTAGTGTACGGATACCGGTGTGCGGTGTGGGTTGTGGTTTGCTGTAATTTGCTAGCCCAACAGCTTTTTTCGGTTTAGGTAGAGAGCGACGAGAGCGGGAAGCAGAGGAATGGAGCCGCTGCGCTGCTGCGTGTGCAAAAGGTACGGTGTGCAAAAAGTGTGACCCTGGAACTTGGGACTGGGAGCCGAAGCATGGATGATGGGAGATGGGGGTGGCGCTGGTGGGTTTGACGCTTGACAGAGGAAGCGAAGCAGAGGAGGGGAGAGACCGAGAGAGGAGAGGAACGACGAGAAGGAGGATGAGTGGATGATGGAGAAGAGACCCCGGCCCAGGTAAGGTACGTCGTGGAAAAAAAAGAAGGTAGAGAAGATTCGGTGTATCGGTGAGAAAAGAGCGGACATGCGGGATGGGCTTGGCAGGCAACATGGCACCTGCGTCCCGGCCAATCAGCAGGCCGGGGGCCTTGCCTCTGTCCTTCCGGTTGGTAACCGGAGGACCCACACCGGGGAGGCACTTCCAAACTTCCTTCCAGCACCACTGCACCACTGCACCAGACAGCGGTGCGATGAGACGGCCAGCATGTCCCATGGAAGTTCCTTCTCATCCCACTGTGCAGTATCTGTACATTCTTTTTCTCCCCTTTCCTTTTCCTTTTGGTCTGTGGTAGTCCATGTGTTAAGGTAGGCAAACCTTGCTTACCCTACGGACGCCTCCTTCCTCGTATTTTCTGCACTTTCCTCCGCGGACACGCGCACAATGCTACAAGCAAGTAAGATGAAGAGGGAAAGGAGAAAAAAAGAAGAAAAAGAGTCAGCCGTTGCCACTCATCTTCCCGGTTGGGTTGTATTTTTGGCCTCTCATGTTTTGGAGACATGACTGACTTCCAAGTTCCTCGCAGATTTTCCCCGCCGACCTCGTGTCAGTGTGTGAGGTGGTCGACCAAGTTAGCTTTGCTTTTGCAGTAAGTGCGTGTCAGTGACTCTGTCTCTCTCTGTTATGCCCACCGCCCTTTTTTTTGTTTTTCGCTTCCTAGAACCACCCACGCTGCATACTCCGTACACCTAGCTTACCAGACCCCGGGAGGCTTTACCGTCCCATGTTTCTGAGTGGTCCGAAGACGCTAACGCGCGTTGAGATTGGGTGGACCAACAAGAACACCTAGAACAACTGGGGAACGACGGAACACAGAGCAAGCAACAACAAACAGCACATGGGCACCCGACACACCTCCAGCCAGGTCCTTGGATGACTCCTCAGCCCTCGTGCCCTGCCTGTTGGCTCCATTCTGCTCACCGCGTGTTTCCTGAACGATGCCACAGACGCCTTTTGCGGCTTGCCATCCGTATCCATACCCGACCCCCAAAATTCCAACCCCCAACCCTCGTCACCACGCATCACAAAAGGCCAGAGGCGGTCCCTCTTCTTACTCGATAAGTACGGATAGACTTGGAGTGATGGAGCCTTGAGCCACGCAGCAAGTGGCAGGGCACCCATTCATCATTGGGCACCTGATCATCTAGATCTCTCGGTTCCAGAATACCAGCTGTTCGCTCACAATGTCGCCAATGCATGCGGGCGGGGAAACCAAGAGGACTCTTTGGGGAGAGCTTCCAGGCACCTTGCATGCATATCGAAGGTAGTGACGTGTGGTACGGTAACATTGTCGGTCGGCAGCGGGCAGAGATGCAGCAGACTCACCACCCTCACCACCACCAGTGACCACAACCAGTGACCACCACCACAACAGCCTAGCGAGGGAGCAAAAAAGTCGAGAGGACCGCAAGTATCTTTACCTTGGCACGCTTGAATACCTGTCATTGCTGTCAACCTCGGAGGTTTACCCACACGCTATACAATGGAGGGACGGATAGGTAGGCAGATGTAGGTGCCGCTTGGGAAACGTCGGCCGCTTCGAACGGTTCCCCCACCGCTAGACATCCTAGGGCCAGGAACGGATACATTGGACGTGAATCGACGCATCACGGCATCTAAATACCAATGCCTGATCCCAAGGCGCTGGGCCGTGAAAGCGCACCAACAACCCACGGTGCCACAGTCCAATATCCACGCAGGCGCACACACCATCTGACGGGTTTCCTCTCCGTGTATCTGGTCTTCACACCTTCAACTCCGGAGCTCCATAAAAGAGTCAAGCCTCAACTAGAGAGAAGGGAGCTGCTAGGATGTCCGGGCAAGCCACACTCAACCACCCAAGTTTTCCGTCCGGTCTTCGGCAGATCCTGCCGGCGGTCCTGCAGGGAGAAGTCCGATCCGGGACCTGACAGAAGCCAAAAAAATATTACCAGTTCATACCACACACACACGCACTCACGCACCCAACCTGCAATCCCACGCCAACAGCTGCCGCGACCAGATCCGAGGGCAACCATTCGCAACTCCCGGGGTCCGTTCCCCCCTTCCCCCCAATACCCACTCCGTCACAGCGCCGTGTTCCCGATCCTCCTTTAATCATAACGCAATTGATAACGACGCATATCTATTCCCCTCCTCCCCCCACCCCCATGTTGGCCTCCGGTTTGCGGAATGTAGCTCGACGGCCCGGCTGCTGCTGCTGCTGCCGAATATCCCCTTTCTCAGCCTTCGCCGCCGCCGCCGTCGCCGGTACTACAGCTACCGCAAGCTTCAACCTCTCCCGTCCCGTATCCCGATCCTTTGCTGCCGCGCGCGCTTCGCAATCCGCAAGAATGGCTTCAACAACGACATCCCTCCCAAGGATCCCTCTCTTCGAGGCCATTTCCCGGCATGACCCCGAGTCCACGGCTGTAATTCACTCCTTATCCGGCCGCCGCTTCAAGTACGGAGAGCTCCTGGGTGACGTGCGCCGCACGCGGAACAAGCTCTTAGACTCAGCGGGCAAGTCAGATCTTAATGGCGAGCGCATCGCATTCTTGGTAGAGAACAGTTACGACTATGTAGGTAAGCCATGTCGCATACCCCTTACACAACAGCTCTTAGACTCCTTTGGCTGTGACCCAAACAACGCGCCTCAATTCTCACACTTGCTTGATTTCTAGTGACCCTCCTCGCTGCCTTTGCCGCGCGGTCAATCGCCGTACCTCTTTCTCCAGCCTTCCCCGCCGCCGAGCTCCAGTATATTCTAAACCAGAGCGAAGCGTCGCTGCTCGTGTCTTCGGCCAAGTTCGCCGCAAAAGCAAAGGAGGTTCTTGCTACAGAGCTCCTCTCAAGCCCGACGCAAGTCGAACTACAGAAGCACCTCGGTGGCAGCGTGCATGAGCAAGTTGAACTAGATAATTCCGATGCCGACGGCGCAGGCATGATGCTGTACACTTCAGGCACCACCAACCGACCAGTTCGTTGCCCCCTTTCTGAACTTAAGTGGCAGCTCCGAGCATGATCGCTGATTCTCTACATTAGAAAGGTGTCCTTCTCCCCCAATCCGTCCTCACGGCGCAATCCAAATCCCTAATCGAAGCATGGAACTACACCCCCGCGGACCACCTCCTCCATGTCCTCCCCCTACACCACATCCACGGCACGGTCAATGCTGTCCTCACGCCGCTCCTGTCAGGCTCCACGATCGAGTTCATGTTCCCCTTCAACGCCGACGCAGTCTGGAAGCGCCTCGCCGCGCCCTACATTACCTCCAACGGTACAAACGGTACCAACGGTACCAACGGGGTCAACGGGGTCAACGGGACCAACAGCACAAACGGGACACACAAGAACATCGCAAAGGAGAAGATTACCTTCTTCACCGTCGTGCCAACAGTCTACTCTCGCCTCCTCGCAACCCACAAACTCCTCCCTCTCGACCCTGCGGAGCCCACACGAGAAGCCGTCTCCCCGCGCAACATGCGCCTCGCCATCTCCGGCTCAGCCGCTCTCCCGACGCCCATCAAGGAGGCCTGGAAGACTCTGTCCAAGGGCAACGTCCTCCTCGAACGTTACGGCATGACGGAGGTCGGCATGGCCCTCTCCTGCGGTCTCGATTTCGCCGACCGCGTCGACGGCAGCGTCGGCTGGCCCTTGCCCGGCGTCGAAGCCCGCCTCGTCGACATGGACACCGGCTTCGTCATCCCTCTCGGCGAAGACGTCGACCCCAAATCGGGCCGCGAGCGCTCCGGCGAAATCCAGCTCCGAGGTCCCACAATCTTCAAAGAGTACTGGCGCAACCCCGAGGCGACAGCCAAGGAGTTCGTCGAAGGCGAGGACGGCAAGGGGAAATGGTTCAAGACGGGCGACGTCGCCGTCCGGAGACCGGTCCCGAACGCGGGGCTCAACGCCGCGCAGGCGTCCTGGGCCAAGGGCGACATGTACTTTATCCAGGGCCGCAAGAGCGCCGACATCATCAAGACGGGCGGCGAAAAGGTCAGCGCCCTCGAGGTCGAGCGCGAGCTGCTCTCCCTCCCCGAGGTGGCCGAGGCCGCCGTCGTCTCCGTCCCCTCGGGGAAGTGGGGCTCCAAGGTCGGCGCCGTTGTCATCCTCAACACGGACGTCGTCCCACACTGGTCCCCGATGGCCATGCGGAGGGCCCTCCGGGATCGGCTCGTCAACTACAAGATTCCCCAGGTGCTCAAGGTCGTCGACCACATCCCGCGCAACGCCATGGGCAAGATCAACAAGAAGCAACTAGTCCAGGCCGTCTTTGAGGACCAGTTTAGCGGTGATGAATTGTAAGAATAAGTAGCTACTGGTGCGCGGATACTGCTCCACTCACCTCACAGTGTGAGATGCACATTTGCTTGTTTGACTAGGACATGGAGGAATGTTGCATAGAATTTAGACAAAATAATACCTTGTTGAGCATTTGACCCTCACTGCGCAACCTTTACGAAGTAAGATTG